CCAAGTGGCTGGGGAGAGGGAAGTCTGGGCCTCCCTACTTAGGCTGCTACCCCCGCGACCCGACCCCGGATAAACGGAAGAAAATGGATGGATGGATGGACATACATTAAATTATGAAATGTCAATTAGTAAACGTTAGATTGTGTTAAATGATTCCATCACCGCAGTCCTCCATCCTGACACACATTTCAACAGCAGAAAGCAACAACTCCCTTTTCAAAGGAAGAAGTCTTCAGCAGAACCGGGTTCAGGATGGGCGTCCATCACGTCTGATGGGACAGGAAAGAGACGAAACGCAGGAGAACTGCTCTGGGTGTAGTTTCTATGGGAAGAAAACGTGTTAATGGCAGCAGTAAATACACGTGTAAACATGGAGAGTAGAGCGAGTAAAGGAAGCAGCAGGGTCAGGAAATGTGCTCAGGTTGTCCTCCAGCAGTAACCTATAGCAGCAGAGCTAAGGGGCACCTCAGGAAACCTAAGTCAGCCCTAACTATAGGATTTATCAAAAAGGAAAGTTTTGAACGTAGTCTTGAGGGAAGACTGAAGTCTCAGCCGTACAGCAGAAACTGGAAGTTTATTCCACAAAAGAGGAGCCTGATCATTGAAAGCTCTGCCTCCCGTTTTACTTTTAGAAACTAGGAACCACGAGTAAACCTGCAGTCTGGGAGAAAGAGCTCCGTTTGAAAAATTGAAATGAAAAGATGTTAAAAAATGTGGACTTAGGTCGTTGAGAATGTGGTTCGTCAGAAGTGCAGCAAAAACTTTTGCCATTAGCTTTGGGATAATGTTAGAGAAAACTTTAAATTTTTATTGTTGAACATTGAAGTCATGACGTTTGTATTTAAAATAGCTGAAATGTTTTTGCTCGGCTTTTCTCACGGATGCTTTCTCACCCAGTTGAAGGACAGTGTCTGTAACGCGAGCAGCTGTGAGACAGACACTTTTCTTCCAGGCTCTCCTGGTGCCAGGAGTGAGGCTGCAGCCTCTGGAAGAGACGCTGAGAGAGGCTGCTGATGTGAACATTTAGTGTGGAATAAGACTTTCAGGCTGTAAAGCTCAAAGAAAGCTGTGTCTGTGCACGTATTAGTGGATTTTCAACTCATCCCTGCCTCTTTCTGTTTCTTTTTCCTCCAGACAAGCACTGATGTAACACTGCTGTGGCAGCAGCCGGGCTCTCTACCTCTGGTTCTCTGGGCCTCACTGTACGACTTCACATGACAAATAGATCCACGAGAGGAAACCCCTTCCTCGCCCTGAGTCCCCTTCTTCCTGTGGACTCCTGACAGTGTGACGCATTCATCTCCATTTTTATTACTTTCCAAAAAGGAGCAGCAAACATGTCTCCACAAAGGAGCTAAACACCTTCACTTGGTCTGGTGGAGGTGTCCAAGAGTTTCCCCTCACCGTCATTTTTTTGTTGTTTTTAAGAATAAATTTTCTTTTGGTTGATTTGAGTCCGGTTCTGCCGGCCGTGCTAGTTTTCAAAACTGGGGCGCGATTCATGGGATGCAACCATGTCGGATCTTAGCGAGCGCAGGCCGGTCAACACGGACTACGCTGTCTCCCTGCTGGAGCAGCTCAAGTTTTTTTACGAACAGAAATTACTGACGGATGTGGTGCTGCTGGTGGAAGACGCAGAGTTCCCATGTCACAAGATGGTCCTGGCCACGTGTAGCTCCTATTTCAGGTGAGTGCGCTGCCCTCGTGAAGTCTTGGTGGAATGGCACATGCTGTACTCGTTCGTTGTGAACAAGTTAAGTTACACATTCACCTTCTGGATTAATAATGCACCGCGTTGTCAAGAAGTTTAACCTTTTTTGAAAAGGGAAGGCAACGCTGAGAACTAAAGCTGTGCTCTGCACCAGCTCTTACATCGCAGATAGATTTTTTTTAACGTGGACTGCTGTAATTGCTAACAGACGCGTCACCGCGGAGCCTCGTCCGTACGCAGCGTTGCATAATAACGTGCTCTGCAGCGACTCGCTGAGCTGCAGCCCAGACTCTGGGAAATGCCCGTCTGTAGCACCTAAACCTGCTGCATCATCTCTCAAACACTTCCAGATGACTCTGTGCCTCCCCCACATCCACTCTGTGGGGGAGGCACAGAGTCATTGCCTTCCCCCAAACTGTTAATCTGCTGTGAACATGCAAAGCATTCCCCCCCTCAGAGTTTGGAGGTGTAGCGCTTCCCCTAAACTGCTGTCCCCTTCTGCTTCCTCCATCCACTTCCTCTGCACACATGCCTCCCTGGCTTAGAGGAAGTGTGTGGGGTGGGGGTGGCTGCTCTGTAGAGAGTTGTCTTTGTTGGGAAGTCTGATCACTTACGTCTGGTAAGAGTTGAGGGGAGAATGAAGAAAGGGTGAGGAGTGGTGGTGGGGGGGGTTGCAGGGGCAATCCTGCGGGGTTGCGTAATGCAGCCCTGCAGTGGTCAACATGAAAACACCTCCCAGGACCCTGTGCCTGCTTCAACAATACTTTCTGTTTTACTCAAATCTTTCTCCATCACATCAAAACGTTTAGAGCTCACAGATGTGAACTGCTTGCTGCTGTCACATCCTCGAACATCTGCACGTTCATCACGATGCGTTTAACTGTGCACGCTGTGGACATGAATCATTTTATCTTTCTCCATCGTCACTCCAAACCTCCTCCACAAAACAAACAAATCCACTGATTTGGATACGGTCGTTCTTGTTTGTGGCATTTTTTCTAATTAAGTAAAAGTAGCTGATAATTACGATTTATCAGCAGTTGTAAAGTGAAGTATAAAATAATATTTCTGCACCTTGGAACACATTTAACCATCGGAATCTTTTAGCATCTTTAAATTTATTTTTAAAGTTTGACCTTTTTCACCTGTTTTTCGTTTTGTTTCGTCTTTTTACAATAATTTTACAAACGGGAACAAATGTCTGCCTGTTTTTAGCCTCTACAGCATCAACAAATAACAGAAATATCATCAGCTAGCAGGTGGAATAATAATCAGCCATATAGACACTTGTACTGAGCGAAACACTGAGTTTGGACCAAAGACTCGAGGATCTGGACGTGTGTAAAAGAACTCGTTGACCCTGGCAGTGTGCAGCGTCAGTCTGGGACTTGGTTGTTTTTACAGCACTGTTGACAAATGACCAGCTGTCATTAAGAGGATTTATACACCGGTATATGTGTGTGTGTATATATCTGTGTACATGTATGTATATATATATA